TGTGATGCCTCATGTGCAGAGTTAAGCCAAGTTTGTGAATAAAACTTTTTCCACAGTTCCCACATGAAAACGGCTTTTCACCAGTGTGAATCATCATGTGCTGAGTTAAACAAAGTTTGTGACTAAATCTTTTTCCACAGGTCCCACAAGAAAACGGCTTTTCACCTGTGTGAATCATCATGTGCTGAGTTAAACTTTGTTTGTAACTAAAACTTTTTCCACAGGTCACACATGAAAACGGCTTTTCACCTGTGTGAATCCTCATATGAGCATCAAGAGAACATTTGAAAGCAAAACGCTTTTTACACGTCACACAGGAGAAAGGTTTTCTTCTTTTCTGATTTTGCTTCTCAGCTTCAGCAGCTTCCTGGAAGACAACTTGCTTCTTGTTTGGTTCTGATTCAGTTTGGTTTGTTTGTTCATAAACAGGAACCACCATGCAGGTATCAGTCTCCTGTTTTAATTCAAGCTGTTCTTCACCCTGACTACAGTAATCTTCTTTCTCTTCCACTTTTATTTGTTGATATTCTAGATCCAGCTGCTCTTCTTTTATCTGTTGATCTTCTGGCTCTTCTTTTTCTTGTTTCACCTGCAGAGGTTCTAACTCGTCCTGGTCCAGACTGGATTTCCTCTCCTGGTTATACATCTCGTTCTCATAAACGTTATGTTGCAGGCAATCTGGAGAAGAAAACAGAAAAAAAGAGGAATTGTTAACGTTACTGAAGTAAATAACAGACTTTCATCATTTAAGACAGAAATCACGAAATAAACATCTGAAAATTCAAGAGTGCAGACATTCATACAGAGTACACATATTCAGTTGGACATGTCCACACCAGTCCTTCGGGAAGTTACGTCCAAGATTGCTTCAAGTTTCTTGGACATTAAACTTCTTTTACCTGCGTGGTTAAATGAAAAATAGATTAATGAAAAATGGTTAAATGGAGAGAGGGATAAATAAAAAATAGATAAATGAAAAAATTGGTTTAATGAAAAAGCTAAATTAACTATTTTTATTTATTTAACTCATTTTCTTCATTTATTGATTTATTTTACTCATTTTTTTATTTATTTCACCCATTTATTTATTTATTTATTTAATTTTGGCTGAAATGGCTCTCCATATTCAGGAGGATTTTAGAAATACGGAGTTGTGTCTGCCTCGTTATTTTAACCTGTTGTATTCTGTTTACAGGAAAAATCTGCGACTGTTACACCGACACCGGCCCTATGGGCTCTTTGCACCTACGGCGTTGACGTCACATCTCCAGGAGCTAATGCGGCTCACTTGTTTCCGCTTTGAGTTACCATGACTGGTAGAAAAGACTAAGTCGTATTTCAGATGCAAAAAACGCAATACTATGAATTTTGTTGTCTTCCTAATATAATGGGCTTTTAAGTTTTCATTAATTTCCAAGCGATCCTGAATTAAGAAGATGGTGACTTGTAAATATTTGCCACTACCAGTTAAAGCTAACGCTGCACAACACAAAGTTTGCAGCCTTCACTTCACTCCGGATCAGCCTAAAAATACCAGGAATACGGATGATAAATAAAGGAGCCTCCCTGAGTTATTTCCATGGAATCACTTCTGTATTCAGCCTGAAAGAGCGAGTTTATGGGAACGAGAGAGCAGACCAGAGCCAGACAGCCGAGCAACTGATCCGCCTGTACATACTGCTGTAAACACCTATCTGAGCTCTTCACAAGAAACATGCAAAGGTAATAAAACGAAATAACACGGAGACCTTAAAAGACACGGTCATATTTTCTAAAAGCAGCAACTTTTAACCTGAACAGTCAGCTGAACCAGATCTCTGACACCAGAGCTGCGCTACTGTTAAGCTATGAGGCTTGTTGAGCTCCGTCAGGCTTCCTAAGTAAAAAGTCCGAACCGTAACCTCCCCGTTAGTCTGTGACACTAACGACAATAAACACACATAATATACTTGAAAATTAGGTAAAAACATTGTCCGTTAGAATGTTTAGATACTTAA